CCATTTTAAGGCTGAAAATGCATCAAAATCACGTATTTTCACAATTCCGGAACCTGATCTCAGTCATGCATGGATGGATTTTGTTCAGATTTAGAACAATGTGTTGTACATATGCAGGTGCATTTCGGTCATGATCTGCTTTGAATGTATATGTCACTCAAATATGAACGGAACGGGGACGTGTCATTGACAATGACTTGTCCTTTAAGGAATTATCATATAAAACACTAAAATTGCCATGCCTGAGCCAGTCTAATGTAAAACTAGAAATTTATTTGGGATAATAACATACGACCAAGTACCATATTTACTCTATTAAAAGTGCATTTCCAATAGAAGTGCATATAAACAGACCCCTCGAATAGAAATTTGTTTTGGTGACGAACAGACATTATGTAATTTACATAATCTTAGTGTTTTGCATAACCTTTTAACGCAACTTGCAAGACTTGAGATTATCGCTAATGCATGAACTGTTAGATAAACGGGATTAAAATGATTACAACTTGCATAGATCAGCGGAAATACCACAGTTTCCCATCCCTTTTTTAGACGGTCTATAATACCGGTATGAACATTTGTAATTGTTGTAAACAGAATCAATAGAAATTACTTCTTTTTGACCATAGAAACTCCTCTAATTTACTTTAATCGCAATCCCTACCAATGGAGTAAATATGGTACATATTGTTTTTGTCGGTGTCTAATAATCTAGTAATTATTGTCTCCTAGATGCATATTTTTGCGTTAATACAAGCTATGTACAGTTGTTTACTGACGTGACGTTTATGTCTGACCAACACAATGATACTTGTATAAGTAGGCTCCTGAAATCACAGGTTATTGAGAGGAGTCAATGTTAAGCTACTTACAAGATTTAGCCTGATTGGCTACTTAACCCTAACAGTCAAACCAATCAAAAAGCAGCTTGTTTGTTGACAGGTTTTTTTGATGTATCACTACAATCAGGCTTTTTAAAACTCTCTCAGGTCTGAAATGTTAAAGCGGGAGGGTCGTCACATGCACACGAGAATTGAGTCCCAAGCGACGATAACAACATTCGCTAAAAATGCAAAGGCTCATGGGTAGATGTTCGTTTGTAAACAATGACACGCTATGGCCATCTGACGCATGCGCAGGTGACGACTCCCCCACTTTAACCCCAGGAGATCTATACCATACGTGGTTTAATTTGTTTCAGCATTCAAATTTCGGTATATGAACACTGACAGTTGTTCACAATGTTATAAAAGTTGTGATCTGAAATTAACACAATTTTGGAGAACGGATAACATTTTGTGGTTTACACATCTTGGTATTCTGCAACAGAGAATGTGTAGTTTTGTGGAGTAGAGCGCCATCAGTGGTTACAACAGGAAAACACTTTGTTTTTATTATTCCATTTAAGGGTTCAAAAGTACATAAAATTTAATATGGCGAGAGTCTACTTTCTTTTGGAGAGTCAGGACAAATCAAGAAAGTGGATATTACACAAAATTTTGTTCTCACAAACTCAAATGATGTAACATTTTTGGTGGCAGAAATATGATTTACACTAAGGTATTGGTATTTCTACTATCTAAACTATCATTTTGTTATATGTAAAACAAATTGAACATCTCCAATGTATTTTGATGTCAAGGTTTTTTTAGCCCATTAATCATAATACATATAAATAACATTTCTCAGGGAATTTTTGCCTAAAAACTCATCTTTTGCTTTTTTTCCACACATCCACTTTACCAAAAAAAATTTGAAAATACTTTATTTTAGCTGGAATTAATTTTCGCTAAATATACTTTTTGGCATTTTGTTTGGAATTTATTTTCACTGATTTTTGACGAGTTGAATGTAAAATATAGAAAAAAATATATATTATAAATAAATGTATATTCGCTGAATTTTATTTTCACTGAATCATTCCTACAGCGAAAATCAATTCCAAGTGAAAATTATTAAGTATTCTACAGTAGTCTTTTCAATGCGATTTTATACAGGAGATTGAGTACTGACTTTCCATTTGCCTATTACATTTTCAGTATGTAAATTTTATGAGAACAATGGTAATACATTTCAAAACTACCAAGACTCGCACTGCATTCATGTAAGGTGTCTTTGTAGCATATTCTGTATGAAAAAAAGCATAGTGGCCTTCCAGAAATTAATGCAGGGCTGTATACAAGATGTATTGGTGAATGGTTTGTGAAGGGCAAATTCAAAGTAAGATAAACACTTTGAAATTGCAGGATTTTTTGTAGACTGGCAAAGTCGGGACTTCTTTTTTGTTTTACGAACACAAACATTTAGCGTTTTTAAGCGTGAATGCGGAAGAAATCCCAAGTAGACTCATCTGCAAACGACTCCCTGCATTGGAGTGAAAACCGGAACGGAATCACTCTGGTGATTATGCTAATTATAAGTTGTTGACTAGCATTGACAATGAATCAGAGTGCAGCTGTATACATCACATCTTATCTATGTTAATGTACGTGACCTTTCACTTCTGAGGTCCCGACGATTTTGATAGACTACTTGTATACATTGGACATTTAAATTGACTTGTTTTCACCTTCACAAAGTTAAATTATCCATCTCTACGACCAAATCGAATCAACCTTTAAACGGTCATGTTTACTTTCACACACCCACTCATGAATAATCAATGACATGAATAATTAATAGCAGTCAAATGCTTGCAGATGCGTCTAGTCGGGATTTCTTTAGCAGTCAGGTTAGTTTTCACGATCACACAATTATTTATTTTATTTTTTAAAACAAAAAAGAAGTCCCGACTTTGCCAGTCTAGATTTGTTTGTATAAAGTTATTCCGTGATAGTGTCATAATTGATTTAATCAAAGAATTGTCATTGTAATGTTCCTGTAACTTGACAAATTTTCTTTTAATGTTATAAAAATATTTCCCCTCAATTATATACTTTTTCCCACAACCATATGGCACTACCTAGTGCTCCTCGATCAATCCATTGTAAAATCTTACATTAGTCGTATGTTTTGTGGAGTCAGATTTGCATCTTTCGTATGCTCACAACTAGGATCAGGGCAAGATTTTTGTCATAAATTAAAACTTTATAGATTATGCAACAGTGTTGGGAAAATCTAATCTTGCACTGTCCCATTAGTGACCTGAAACATTGGGGATACATCAAGTTAGTTTATGAATATTCATAAGTTGATTGACTCTGCATTAACCCGTCACAATTTCAACTAGATGCATTCACCAAAAGGATGTGCTACCATACCTGTTCAAGCATGCTAGAGTGCAAGGACATTCAACAGAATAAAGCACGACACAAGTGACCTACATGTCAATCAGCTATCAACACCTGCATGCACGATTTTTTTTTTTTTGGGGGGGGGGGGGGGGGGTATGAGACTTTAAACATGTGGTATACACATGTGCACACTTCAGACAGGCATGCAAACCCTTGTATTTCGTGGTCATGTCAAAGAATCAAAACAGAAGAGCTTGTATTATAAAGGTAATGGCAGCATAAAGAAGATGGTCTGAATGAGCTGTAGTTTATACATGGTGGTATTCATCATCAGGGTTTGTATACAATCAAATTGGAAGGTTTTGATGAATAGGCTATCCCTCATCAGTAGCATAGTAATGATTGGGGGTTGGGGTTTGGACTTCATAAACCACAACAAATTGTACTCTGAGTCGCCAAATGCCAGTTTTTAATAGCTTTTTTATACAACTTATCACATCACAATTTTTTTTTATCACCGCATCTGTTCTCAGAAAAAGAATCCTAATATTTTGCCACCCATGTGTTTTCGTTTGGCCTCCTCATGGTCCATGATGCCCCCTGACGTTGTTAAAACTACATATCTGGGGAAAAAAACAAACAAAGAAAAACCATTAAATATTGGTAAATGTCAAAATACATTGAAGTATTAAAGGGTTCAAAATCCAATGTTGATTTCAACTAGTAATTTAAGAGACAGCACAATTTCAGTGCAGTAGGAGATGGCAAGGGTTATTTGATGAGGAAAATCTAGTACTCCAATCAAATAGTTTTCACTCTTCTTCAATTGCATTGATACACAGCTTGATGTCATTTGTGCATTATTAAAATCCCACCCTCAATGGTTTTCCTCCTAAAACATTTTCGCACACAACAAAGAACGTGGTTGCCCCCCTAATTAGCGAATACAAGTGCAGCATATAAATCCAGAAATAATATTCAATAATAATAATTTAATTTTCTATCATAGTCTAGATCAATAAATACCTGCAGACCTCCAAAGTTGCACCCATTAAGGCCTTCCCATTGGATCTGTGAGGAACTCTAATAGAGGTTCAACTCCAGGTTGAATTTGTAAACTGGTCTATTGTGAAACTCATGAAACTCCCCCCTCTGAATCACCGGTGATCAATTTAAACTACTGGAGCCATGCAACATTCATTTGTTCATTATGTGAATAGAGCATTGAGATAACTAGGTAAGAAAGATTGCACTTAACACTTACCCAAACTGTCTTGAAGGTAAAAGGTTTGTCTGCCATTTTTCCATGTCGTGTATTGAAACGTCAAACCTAGGACTAATCACACCACACTGCAAAAAAAAAAGAAATATTAGGCATCGTAAAGTCAAGTGACTTGCAAGATTGTGCTTGATTGGTTACACAACAATAACATTCAACAGCTAAGCCAATCAGAAAACAGCTTGTATGTTGAAAGATTCTTTAAACAAATCTAATCATGCCTTGTATAAGCTTAGTCTGTTCAATGGATTATAAAATGAATTGTAGGTCAAATCGTACTTAATGTTTTAACATATCTACATGGGTCAATTTTGTCAGAATAGATGCATATTGCCTTTCTTAGATGCCATTCTGCACACATTAAGTAATCTAAATACAGTGATCCCTTGCTAAGTTGTGCCTCAGTAAGTCATGATTTTGGCAGGTAGTTGGCAAGCTCCAAAAAATTCTATTGTGTTTTGATGACAGTGTTGAAGTAAAAACTTATGTTTTATTGCATTGTGTATTTAATTAGTCGCAAAAGGGCCGGAGGAGACAACTTAACATCCAGTCCGTCAATAACCGAAATACAAATGGGTGCCTGACCTAAGGTATGGATACACATGTCAAGTTGCAACTTTAGTACGTCTTTTATATAGCTCTATAAAACTTGCTACAACACTGATCAATAGATCAACTGAGCAGCATGACTAAGCAAAAGCTATCCAGTCTGTCTGTACATAAAAAAACTCGCAACGATTGACCGTATCAAGAAGGGTGAAAACCAAGTCAAAGGTTGCATGTGATCTAGCAGTCAGTGAGTCCAATATTCATGGGTGGGTGGGTGATCCAAGGCAAAACTGATCAGTGGACATAGAACCTGTGATGTTTTTCAATAAAGAAAACGTACTACAAGTAAACCTATGTGTGTATATGTGTTTTTTAACCCCACTTTCGATTGCAACACAGGGATCACTGTATTTATACAGAAACCTGCTATGCAGAATAGAAATCAAAGCATGAACAGTTTTATCAAGTACAACCATTGTAGACTACAAATGGCCCCAGTTATGCTTTTAACAAGTGTATTTACATATTTACATCATCCTGCATAGAAATAATGCAATTGTGTAATTCTATTGGAGATTCATTTCTAACGAAGCAAATACAATACATCAATAGCCATGAAATCCACAAGGACGACATACCATGCATATTTGCATTAATATTAAATTACAAACACTATAAGTGTGGTTATCCTAGACTTACTTTGTTCAGTCTTCCTGTGAGATTAACTACAATTTTTCCAGATCTGTGATCATCAATAATTTCAAATTCTCCAATGTAACCTGCAAAATATACATCAAGAAAAGTTAATAACAGATTCTGAAACTGAATCCAACACACTGCTCAAGTGTGTTTTCAATATTTGTTCTGGTAAATTGACAGGTTTGACAACAAATATATCAATAACATCTAGTGGTGATGACATTTATTACACTTTGATCCCAGGAAGAAATTAGACTTACCGTGCTTCATCATTACAGTGAGGAATTTCACTATTACTTTGGAGCTGGGCCTTATAAGCACCTGTCTTTTGCCTCGTTTTTCTGCATTGTTGATTGACTTTAAGGCATCCGCCAACACATTCATGAGCACCATGGTGGCTGTAAAAAAAAAAAAAAATTCAAAATTATTTCAACATTGTTATTTGAGATTCTGTTCAAGTTACATTTCCTTGGATTTTGATAGTGGGCAAAATGGAACCATGAACTTGCAAACTGAGGAAATGTAGGTATGCGATTGTTAATTAAAGTTCAAATTAAGGCCAACATTTGGGCCTGGAACACGCAATTTATATGTAGGGGTGACATGTTTAAAAAGTACTGGCCAACACACTTTATCAAATCAAAAGCAGCAATGTGTTATTGTCCCAAAAATAATACTGACTTTTATTAAACTTATCTATCTATAAAACAGTCACTACATTTACAAACTGGAGAGATTTTGAAATACTACAATACTAAGCATGATTATTTGAAAATTTAAATAGATTTTGTAGAATCGTGATGTTGATTTTATTTTAGCAAACGTCATTTGACAAGACTGAAGAATTTTTGTGAATGTATAAAACATGTAGTTCCTGTGGCAGAAATGTTTGTGAAAAGTGAACATTTTCAAGAAAAAAACTAAAGAACACTCAGTATTTAGTTACATCTGATCAACTATACCAAGGATTTCTAGACATCTCAACTCAAAATTTTCTCATTTTTGACCCAAGACACTTCGACCCAAATTGGACATCTCGACCTACCGCATCAACACGACCCTATCTCTACGTGGTGACACAAACCTACATCTAGTTGCTAGTGTCGCCCTTGATAACTAAATATTCTCGTGATCTTGTACATCGTGCTGTATTTGAATGATCGACATCTATTGATTCGAAACATCGGCCACAGAAAGCCTGATCGAACCGATCATTAAACGCAATCTAGTTCAATAGATCAATCCAAAAGTTACGACATTTTCAAGGGTTGCGTGCTGTGAAACAAACAACAAATATAGCAAAAAATGATAATTCAGTGAAACAAACACTTGTCTGTGAGCACTGGGAAAAGAACGATGTTATTGAGATCGGGTCGAGATGGCGGGTCGCCTGAAATATGTCGGTCGAGATGTCTAGGGGTACTGGGTCGAGTTGTCCAATGAAAAACTGATCGAGATGCTAGATCTGCGACTTTCATAGGTAGATAATAAGTAATCAGAATTACTGGGGAAAACGACTGAACCTGTACCTATACATTGGATTTTAGTCCCACTGAGCAAGGGTGTTGGTACATCAATTTTCTGTGTACATCTGAATGTTGTCAATGTTCTTGCAGTTTTATTAATATGAAGTCTCTCATTTGCTGAAATATTTAATGTCACTACTGCAATCACCTTTGTTCCATGTGCTCTATGTGACCACATCGGATAGGTTATTTATTATGATAGTCAACTCGAAATGACAATGTAATTATTGTAAAATAATTCAAAATTTACAATAACACGCACACCGTCTGAAATATATCAAATTTCCGCTGTATTACGATCACCTCAATGAAATGTTTGATACTAACCCGAAAGTCGGAAGATTTTGTGTTCTTATTTATAAGCAATGGAGAACGCGATCATGTGCAATTCGCCTGAAATGGTCGAACATTAGGGGAAAACATTAACAATTATTTTGTTTTCCTTCGACTTTATTTAAAAACTAACTGCACCGGGTTAAGGACTACTATATTGACTATCAGGGGCGACTTTCTTTTTGTCCAGAAATGATAAGAACTAGACGATGTTTGCGGATGTTCTTCATCATGCAGACGCTCCACTACTTACCAAATCCAAGATGTCGGAAAGAGAGAGAGATCTGAGTTCGCACGGAATTATGGGTAAATATAAAAGGTCGTGTTTTGCGAGAGTGTGAGCGAGACTTGGGCATTTATTGTGATCTCTTTGGGTCATCGATTTGCTTGTTTTCTGGTTTGATGTAGATCGTTGGTGTGTTTCAATCGATCCAGGTAATCACAAAATTATCACTGTTTGTGCTAACTATTCAGACTGCGGTAAAACTGCATTTCGTTGCCAGTGGCAACTTATCCACTCGACGCGCGCAGCCATTTTGGATTCTGTGTTCAGCTGGGGTTGAGGCTCGCTGTTGATGTCATGCCAGTTCTCTGATTTGTCTCACATAGCTACAATTTACAAACAAGTTTACCGAAACAACCACATTGTGGGTTCGACTTCTAGGGTAAGTTTTTCTTCAGTGATTCTGATAGTGAGTATTCAACAGCCATAAATCTTCTCTAAAATAAATTGCTCGGTCACACGCCTGCAAGTAAAAATGAGGGAATAACCAGTGCATGAAGTCGAGGAGGGGGGGGGGGGAGGTACAAGATAGATAGAAAGGCTGAAAGAAGATAATTTTTTAATTGCCAAATTTTCAAATGCTAATTAATTTGTCATTATTTGATATTGCTGCATAGTGTCCACGCAGCCCATCCCATCCCATCCTCCCGGAATGGCCCCTTCTTTGAGGGTATGTCAGTTAGCAGCTGAGGTCTGAGGGTGTATAAATCTCAAATAATCTTTTTATTGTTAACTGAATTTTAATTGAGTAAATAAGAATGTGTAAAATCGCCTTTTTCAGAATATCTAAATAAAAAAATCAGATTTCTAAAAGTGTGCATGGTTATTTACAATAACAGTTTTTTGAAAAACGATAAAAAGATGATACTGATAGGTTCAAAAGAATTGCTATGCAATGAGCTCTGTGATTGGTCAATTCTTCAGGGGTCAACAAATTTTAAGAGAAACCCTCTATACATATCTAGCATACATACATATTGATACATGCATACCGGTAACCTGCTATGTAATCAATATAAGCACATCAAAGCTTTCCCAGCTGCTCTACAGCGCTGAGTGCTTATAACAATATATTTCATTTGGTGTCATTCACACATATTTATGTTGTGCTGATAAAGGCGTTATATCTTATATTGAGTCCCAATCTCCTAAATATTTCAATATAGATCAATATAGTAATAGTGATTCCTGAATCAGTCCATCTGTTCAGTGCTACTTACATGGCTTGGATTGATAATGTATTAATATAAGGGCTGTGTCTGAATGCCACGTATTCTAAAATAATAATTCGTTTTGTATACAATATGGTAAATAGATTAGTAATCTTTGTGATTATGCTCTGCATTATTTGTACTACCGGTATTAGAAGCACATCTCCAACGGCAGCGCACAGAAACTGAATATTTCATTTATCTTATTGCTGATCATTATATGTCTTATTTTGACCGTAGAGACACCGTCGGTTCATGAGCGAATGCGCTACTATTAGAGCAAATATTGTATATGATTTTTTTTTCATTTGGTGATGTAAGCTACGTCTGTCGACAGTCGTATCAGTAATAGAACCTAGGAAACATCATGCATACTACTGTATATCCTTGTTTAAAAACTAAAAGTCTACTACATGTACTGTCCTTGTCATTATGGCTGGCTAGCTCAAGTGATCATGGGAGTGACTTTTTGAAAATCTTGTCAATATTGTCTGAAATTGGAAAAAGATAGTCGAGCATTGATTTTTGTGAGTATTTGGTTAATAGAGTAATTTCACTCTCAAATTGGCATATAGAGTTTGTTTAAATTGTATTTTCTTTATACCAGGACTGCATCATGAACTGACAGTTGAACATTTACATTCTACATCAACATCTCTATAACCATGGCGACGCTTGCTCAAGTAAAAGCTGGCAAACCTCAGAGAAAGAATTTTGCCGGAAGGCCTCGATCTGTGGCTAGTGGAATATCATTACCCAGAAAGAGGCAAGTTATCAGGCGCTCAGAGGTTCTTCTTGATGATCAGGTAAAATAATAATTATTTTTATTGATGAGCAAAGAGTAAGGGTAGAACTATTGGGCGAATTATTTTTTTCTTTTACATAGTTTTAAGCTTTCATGTTCATAATGCTGTCAATTTGATCTGTTTGCTCTCTGTTATTTACTCTGTGCTACTGCAGATTTTTTTCAAAATCCACCTCTCAAGAGTTCCCCTGAATAAGTGAAGGGTACTTCTCTTACTCTATTGGAAAATGAAAAATAATAAAGTTCACCTTTTCTGATTCTATTTGTTATGTTAACAGGTACGCATCATTATTGAAAAAATATTGTGTTCTGAGAAAACCGTAAATGTTAGTCATTCAAGAACTTTCAACCTGTTAACAAAATGAAATTATCACATTATTTTTTACATAAATGTTGATTTATACTCAAGTCATCATCCTTTGGACTTTTATTACCCAGTGAGAATATTATAAAACTGGCTGAAAACATATAAAATAGATACTTTTGAACTATTTCCATGTAGGAATTACCATTAAAGATGCAATATTGAGGAAAACTAATATGTTTTAAATATTGTTGTTTTGATACTCCATATGGTAGACAAAATTGGATTATGAATTATCATTAGCTAAAAATGTTGCATTTGTAGGACACACAACAGTGTTAATAGTAGTGTTAGATGAAAAATAAAAACCACTAATACGCAGTGGTTGTTATTGTACATACAAAAACAGCCAGTGAGAATTTTTGTTGCATTGAACAAATACTAAGATGTGTGCTATCAGATTTTAAAATTATAGTTCATCAATATATTATAAAAGTTCCCATTCATATTGAATCTTTAGAGCATTTTTCCATAAAAATTACATATTTGTCAGAATTTCACAATAATACTTGACAATCATAAGTACCCATCCTATAACACGCATGATTATTTCACGTTATGTACTTGAATGACATTTTGACGAAACCTTTTTATCAAAGGAACTAATGCCTAATGGCTTAAAATTGCTATTCATGGGTGTTGGACAATTTTGTAAGCAACAACCTAAAACATTTCTGTTTTACATAGCCTGACATGGTTTAGTTTACCTATACTGTACATTTACCTAGAATACTGTGATATTTGTAATTGCTTTATAAATTGGTGGTACGAAAGATATTCAGTGCCCAATTGAATTTTCATACATTATTGTATTTACCACCTTGTCTGTGATGTAATGGTTAGTGTATCCACAAAGCGTCAGGGAGATTGCAGGGATGTTTTCCATGGTTGGCTGCACATTCAGCAGTGAATATGATGGGGCGTAATACTGTCGGTCTTGTTTCTGTCATCAGTTGATACAATGTATAAAGCATTCTCTCCACACTGAGGTGCGGATGACCGTGGGTGACCGGGACTTACCTGTGGATAAATAGCACCAAATCACCAGTTTCCATATTGTTCTTCTAGATATCTCTTGTCCGTGATGTACAAGATAGCCTGGAGAAAGCCATGCAAGAATTGGCTAATGCTAAAACAGTAGAGGATGTGGAATTTTACAGAATTAAGGTCAATGAACTCAAATTACAATGCGATGAAATGGTACTCATCCTACAGGTAATTAATTAGACAATGTCTGAATTAATTTCCTAAAAATTATTTGATATTTTAAAAAAGTTTTTTATATGTTGGTTCATAGTGTCATTGTAATTCTCATGGACACACTGTATGCATTAAAGATGGCAGTGACAGGATTTTCCTGAATTTTTGCAAAACTCTTCACTAGAATTGGCAATTAGAAAGTCTGAAAAAAGAATTTGAATTATACGAACCTCAATTATATGTAGTTTGAACAATTTTAATTTCAACATGAAAGCCAGGGTGAAGTTTAAAACGGGGGAGTCGTCACCTGCGCATGTGTCAGATGGCCATAGCGTGTCATTGTTTACAAACAAGTGTCTACCCATGAGCCTTTGCGCTTTTAGCGTGTGTTGTTATCGTCGCTTGGGACTCAATTCATGTGCGTGATGACCCTCGTGCTTTAACGCCATGACGAAATAACAACTTTTATTTAAACTTAAGTTTGAGTTCCCGCATGTTTTATTTACTCTTGTTTATTTGATTGGAAGTTTCGTTAGTTAGGTTAGTACATCTATGATAGAGTAAACATATTTTGTATTGCTACATTGAAAATATCATAATCATACATGTAATTTTTTCTCTGTTTTGCTGCTATTTGTCTATGAAAAACAATGTTGTTTTATTAATCACCATGGTTACAACTGTATTTACCTCAACAAAGCTAATGAAAAATGTATTGCTACATTGAAAATATCATAATCATACATCATGTAATTTTTTCTCTGTTTTGCTGCTATTTGTCTATGAAAAACAATGTTGTTTTATTAATCACCATAGTTATAACTGTATTTACCTCAACAAAGCTAATGAAAAATGTTTCTGTAGGTGATTGGTAAATTGAACAGTGAGTTAGCATATGCACGGTTAGAACTTGAGAAGCTAGATAAAGGTGATAAGAATGTCGCAGTGATCAGAAAGAGGGTAACATGGTTAGAAGACCGAGTGGAAAATCTACTCACAAGACATAAGAGAAGTGATACACAGGTAAGCATGCTTTTTTTTTTATTGAGTCTGTGAATATCAGCTTCACTTTGCATAATGCCATTATGATATGAAGATGGTCACACACAGCCCTGTCTTAAACTTGAAATATGGTATCTGTGGCAGAGAGCACCATATATACCCTCAGCACTTGCGCTGGAAAGGAGAGACAACAAATTCCATGTCAGGAACAATGTTTGGATTTACAGTTCGTACCAAAAATGAACTC